CTGTTATAATTTTTTTAGTATATTACTTGTGTGGTGTAGAAGAGAATTATTTATGTAGAGATACTGCTTGCAAACCAGTGATGGTAAGATGATGTCATGGGGTAGGACTGGATAAGTCTGACTTCTTCCTACTCCATTCAAGCATGTACTAGGTATAAGCAAATTGATATTGGATTAGCATTTGTTGGATATGTGTAAAATTATGTGTGTTGACATATCAACTGTCTTTACATGCTTGAAAGAATAAATCAAATCAAATCAAAATCAAATCAAATCTTGCAGGCCCTGATTAGTAGTCAACAGGAAATGGACGACACGACACCACTGCTACTGGATGCACTTGAGCACTACAGCAGTAAAAAGCAGGTGAGACCACAGTCATGAGCAGCATTGTTTTCAAACTCTCCATCTGCCTGCTCCATCTTCCTTTCTGTTTCAAACTCACCTCCCAGTGTGAACATACAGTAGATCAACCAATTAGCTTGCTTGACACACATGTCTGCACAACTCGATGTTGGGATATGAGAGGTGTTGGTGTCAGGTCCTCTGCAGTCTACAGCAGAGTTACCCACAACACCCTTTGCTGCATATAATTCTAGCTTTAGTCCAGGTGCGATATATGTAGTTCCTGGGTCGCTGAAGAACTGAGGTATGCATTGAAACCTCATAATACAAATATGTAAAAACAGATTCTGAAAACCACACACACAAACTCACATGAAACAGTGCACCGTACATCAGTGGCTGCAGAACGTGAAATGTCACATTCATCTGATGTGTTCTGGATGGATGATGGCTAATGTTCGGGGTCTCATGTGATATTGGTGGGTGATGGTGGTCATCTTGTTTAACCATGGAAGGAGGAATGATAATGATTGTAAAACCAAATCTTCACTGTCTCCTTGTCCAGAGCCTCCTCACGTCACGTCCCCCACAGTGGCTCCTCTACTCCCTCCAGTCTTTCCACTCGGTGGTTCTAAAGGAGCCGGTCTACTGGCTGGTGGCTCTGTCGGCCCGGACCTCTCTCCATATGTTCCTGGCCAATACCCTGTCCTTCCATAAGCCCAAATTTGATCCCATGCTGGTGTCCAACTCTATGTTCAGAACCCTATACCATGACTGGAAAGATGATATCACCTGGACACAGAGGTACGCGTTTGCTATAATAACAAAGTCAAGTCAAGATTTTTATTTGCCATTTATGCATAAACAGACAGTCTAGGCATATTGGAACTCTTGTGCAGGTCTCCTTTGGAGTCAGGTAAGGAGTCAAAAGCCAGAGAGAACAGTCTCAAAATAAAAAGTTACAAAAACCACAATACACAAAAATAGGGTAATAGTATTTACCCCAGTGAACTTCAAACATTGCACTTAGTAATTAACATGGTGGAGTTGGATATGTCATTACGCTTGGTGAGGTAATGAGGGGTTATTGCACATATATTCTCACATTTTCGTATTTGCCATCAGTCTTACTGCGGCAGGGAAAAAGCTGTCGTAAAGTCTTGTTCTGTGTGCGATGATACTGTCCACTCTGCTGTGCCTGAGGTTGTAGGTGCAGTTTTTGTGTCTGAGCAGAGTGTGAGCTGGGTGGCGTGGATCCCTGATTATGTTCTCCGCCCTTTTACGACAGCGCTGTGTGTATAGTCCATAGCAGGCAGTTCAGTCCCAGTGATCCTCTCTGGAGTCTTTATGACCCTTTGAAGAGCCTTCCTCTCTGCCTGTGTGGTGTTACCATACCAGACTGTGATGCCAGTAGTGAGGATGCTCTCTACCAGTCCTCTATAAGCCTGGGTGAGAGGGCAACGGTTAAGCCCTGCTTTTCTGAGCCGCCTGATGAAGTATAGCTGCTGCTGGGCTTTCTTCACTGTGGCAGGTGTGGTTCCCAATGCTTGGGTTACGGACAGGTTGAAGATGTCTGTATACACACTAGCTAGTTGATCCCCACAGGCTCTCAACACTCTAGACGGGACACCATCTGGTCCCGCTGTGTCACCTGAAAAGCAGTGTCCCCCGGATCGCAGGGGGATTTTGAGGGGGTGTCTGTGGTCATCCTGTCAAACCTCACATAGATGTTGTTGAGGCTGTTCGGGAGGGTGACGTCCTGGGGGGCTGTGTTTGTTGAATTGTTCCTGTAGTTTGTGACTGCCTGGATTCCCTGCCACATACTGCGCCTACAGGGTGAAGAATTTGTGGCTGGAACAGCAGCTCTGCGATGAGCCTGTGCTGATTGTGAGCTCAGCAGACACCCGCCCTCTCATTCTGACCATCTGTGGTCTTTCAGTCAGGAAGTCCAGAATCCAGTTACAGGTAGGAGTTGGGACACCGAGGTCTATCATCTTCCCAATCAGCCTACCTGGGCGAATGGTGTTGAATGCAAAACTGTAATCCAGGAAGAGCATCGAAGCATACGTAATGCTGCTGTTGTGGTGTTTCAGGGTATGGAATAAAGCCAGAGACGTCGCATCGACCGCTGATCTGTTGGGGCGGTAGGCAAACTGGAGGGGGTCTACAGTGTCCGGGACCATGTGGTTAATGTGTGTGAGGACCAGTTTCTCTAAGCACTTCATGGCGACTGATGTGAGCGCCACTGGCCTGAAGTCATTCAGAGTGGATGTGTCTGATGTCTTAGAGACCGGTACGATGATGGATTTTTTGAAAATGCGAGGAACCAATGCTTGGGTTACGGACAGGTTGAAGATGTCTGTATACACACTAGCTAGTTGATCCCCACAGGCTCTCAACACTCTAGACGGGACACCATCTGGTCCCGCTGTGTCACCTGAAAAGCAGTGTCCCCCGGATCGCAGGGGGATTTTGAGGGGGTGTCTGTGGTCATCCTGTCAAACCTCACATAGATGTTGTTGAGGCTGTTCGGGAGGGTGACGTCCTGGGGGGCTGTGTTTGTTGAATTGTTCCTGTAGTTTGTGACTGCCTGGATTCCCTGCCACATACTGCGCCTGTTGTTAGTCATGTAGTAGCTCTCCAGTTTTTGGAAGTATGCTCTTTTTGCAGCTCTGATGGACTTCTGTAGCTCATACCGGGCTATCCTGTACTCTGCTTGGTCCCCTGACTTAAAAGCCTTTTGTCTCTTCCTGATTTTCTTTTTTACATTCCTATTAAACCACGGTTTCTGGTTGGGGAAAATACGCACCGTTCTAGCTGGTGTGCATATGGATGTGCACAGTCTCTGCATATTCATAGATGTCGTCTGTGGCCCCTTTGAAGATGCTCCAGTCCATGGCCTCTAGACAGCCCTGCAGGCTGGCCTGTGTACAGTCGTTCCAGGTGTTAACAGTTCTCACTCAGACTGGTTTCGCCTTGAGTCGTTTGGTGTAAGCAGGTTTGAGACGGTTTGCTAGGTGGTCAGATCTACCAAATGAGGCTTAGGTTCAGCTGAGAAAGCATTTCTAATGTTACTGTCACATTGGTCCAGTGTTTTGTTTCCTCTAGTAGGAAAGGTTACAAACTGATACGGTTTAGGCTTTTCCTGAGATTGCAGTGGTTAAAATCTCCCAGAATAATAAAAGCAGCATCAGGATTTGTGTTTTCATACTCATTCTGTATGGTTCCTTTAGTGCAGCTTCCTCTTTGCCTGAGGAGGGGGGTGTACACTACACTCACAATGATACATTGCAGTTATCTAGGTAAATAAAATGGCCTTAGCTTTAGTGTTAAATATTCCACATCTTCAGAACAGAATTTAGAGAGAATCTTGCAGTCTGTGCACCAGGACTGTTTGACAAAGGCGGCCATTCCTCCTCCATGGGTCTTTTGGCGGCACTGCGATCCTCTCTGACCACAGAGTAACCATCCACCCATCCAACTTTTCCCAGCTATGTTTCACAAAAACACAGCACGGAGCAGTCCTGTATGACCTTCTGAGATGTAGGTCGTTGGTTCTTGTTACCATTGCTAACTCTGAGAGACGAGACAGTCCAAGTAACTTCAAAACAGTGCTGATTTATTCAAAGGATCACAGGTAAAATTAACATTACACGCTCAGGTATCGTGCACCTCCAAACTGCTCGCAGGCAGATGTAAGATGAAAGACCCTGAACCCACCAGGCCTATACATTATATCCC